GATCACCACCATCACCCTTTTTATTTTCTCTATTTCCTCTTCTTAATATTCTCTTACATTGGCTTTCTTTTTTTCTATTTTTTAAATTAAATTTATTGAGGTGACATTGGTTAATAAAATTATATAGATTTCAGGTATTCATCTGTATACTGTATTGTGTGTTTACTCTCCCAAATCAAGTCTCCTTCCAGTCCCTTGGCTTTCTTTACATGACAATTTGCTAGTCCTCGTTTATCTCTCTTTCTCAGTCTCCTTTGTTGGCTCATCTCCTACCTAATCTCTAAATGTTGGAGTTCCTTAGGCTATGTCTTGGCCCCTTTCCCTTCTCACGGTCTGATCTCTCAATAAGCAAACTCTTCCACACCCATCGCATTAATTAGCCTTCATATCCTGATGACTCCCAAATTTACATCTCCAACCAAGACATCTCTCCTGAGCTCCAGACTTTCAAAGACAACTGCCTATCCAATATGTCCACGTGGGGTTTCACAGGTACTCCAGACTCAACAGGTTCAAAACTCTCATTGTTTTCTACCTGAGGGAACTGTACCTACATCTATGAAGTTAACTAAACCAGAAACTAGAGTCATTATTGACATACCTACCTCTCCTTTACCATCATATACAATTGGCCATTTTTCTGACTCTACTTTCTAAATATTTCTCACTGCTGACTTCCCTCTACCTGCACTGCTACCCAAGTTATCACCTGATTACTACAATGGCATGACTCATCACCCTGTATACACTTCATGCTTTCTACACTCCTGGCAGAGTCCTCTTTGAAGATTCATTCACTCACTGAAAAATATTTATTGAGCCCCTACTACGTGCAATTTGTGACCAAGACCCTGATCTCCTAGGACGCTATTTAAGAGCATATGATTAGAAGGACCTAACTTAATTGTAATGGGGTAAGGAAAATTTCTTTGAGGAAATATACTTTCATCTGAGATATGAAGAATGACTAGAAATGTATTAGGCAAAGAAAGAGCAGGTGGAGGGAAAAGAGCATTTTAGGCAAAGGAACATCCTATGCAAAGGTCCAGAATCAGGAATAAGCAAGGTATGAGAAAAGAGAGCAGACAGTGAGAAGAAGTGTGGAAGAGATGAGGATGGTACTCTGGGGCACATCCAGGCCCTGTGCGATAGTGACTCTAATTAGGAGGTATTCAGAGGGTCTCAGAGCCCCCTCAAATGACCTGCTACAGTAGATGAGTGGGTGAGAATTTTCCTTTTTTCTTAAAATTTTTGTGAGCATTTTTCTGAGGTGAGAGTGCATAGCTTTCACTAGGGTCTTACAGCGAATCTATGACCCCCTCTCCCTCTCCCTCTCTAGAAATGTAAAGAACCACTGATGGTGTATGAAAACCCAAGGTATGGACTTTGGACTTCGTCCCAAAACCAGTGAGATGCCATTGGAAATTATTAAGCCAAAAAGTGGATGGATTGTAAAATCTACAGGGCAGGGATTTTTATCTCTTTTGTCACTGATATGCCCCAAGCACCTAAAACAGTACCATACACAGGACTGATACTCAGTAAATAATTGCTGAATGAATGAATGTCTATTGTGGCTATTGAATGTCTATTATATCGTATTGCATTATATCATGATCATGTGCTTTATGCTTCTCCCTTATAAGACTCAATTCTTGATAACAACTGTGTCTTAGTCATCTTTATATCACTAGAGTTATGGTACTAGTGCTCAGCACAATGCCTGGCTTAAAATCAACTTCAAAATGCATTCATTCATTCAGCCAGTAATTTAAAAGCACCTACAAGATGCCAGGAACCTGGGAATGAAAAAGATGACTAATATAGTATCTAGAGGAGAAGACTGGTAAGTAGGCCTGATACTATGCGGTAAATGCTACAGAAAGGGTAAGAACAGAACACAGCCCTAGAGGTGTAAGGGAAGGCCAGTAGGCAAAAGAAATTCAAGGGCTGACTCTGGGCTTGGTGATAAAAGGGAGAGCAGAGCATGGGAGTGGGCATGAAAGGCAAGGTCTAGAGGGGAGAGAGCAGGGGCCATTTGGAGAATTGCAAGTGGCTAAGTAAGTCTAGGGCAGGATGGAGCTACAACGATGGGCCAGAGCCGTAAGGAGTCCAGATTTTATCCCAAAGACAATGGGAAGTCACTAATGGGTAGATAATGAATCTGAAGAGTGATGTCGTTGCATTTAATGTAGGACTACTTAGGCTCCAGAATAGCGAATGAATTGGAGAAGCAGTAATAGCGGGCGTCCAGGCCCAGTAATTGGGAGCGATCATGCTGGCCTGAGCTAATGGAGAGGCAAGGGCAATAGAGAAAAATGGATGGACTTGAGAGATATTAAGGAGGTAGAGTCAGTAGGAATTATGGCTAGTTAGGGGAGAATGATGGAGCAGCCATGGATGACTCCCAGGTTTTTAATTTGGACACCTCCAAGGGAATCAGAGAGAGTGCAAACAAAGAATGGGAGTAGGCTTACAGAGACAGATGATCAAATTCAATTTGGGCACATAACATTTTGAGTTTTCTTTGGAACATCCATGTGGAAACTTTTAGTAGGCAATTGATTATACACATGAGCCTGGGATTCAAAAGGGAGATCTAGGTTAAATATATAAATGTGGTGACCTTCCCATCTTTAGCCATGTACAGCCAGTAATTTGTGTGTTGGCTGCTCTCCTCTATGCTCTGTCGGCCTACAGGAAGAAAAGTAAGGGTGACAGAAGGGTGCTCCTTCAGAAGGAAGCAGCACTAAAAGCATTTGAATCAAGATGAGTGGGAACCGTCCCAATAAACACATTTAGATTTTTAAAAAAGAGGCGCCATTGCTTACACATGGGAACCGATTCCTAGGAGTCACACCTAGAAAGTGTAGAAAGGAGAAAAGACAGCCAAAAACAGTAACAAACATTCAAATACCAAGCTTAATTTTTGAGTAAATGAATAGAGAAATAAATAACAAGTGGGTTTATTTAAAAGAAGAGCCCCCTTCCGGTGCTGTTCAAATACTGCTACCAAGTCAGCTAACTAACCTATTTGTGCTTAAGGCAAAACCTGCTCTTTGGCTTCCCAAATGGAGAATATATTAGTTAGCACACCAAAAATGAAAAGTAGGGAAATATCATACAGCAGAATGTGTATCTTCAGGGCTTTTTCCAGACATATATGTAGATACTCAATTCCTGAGGTAAGTGGGTCATGATAACCTCTTGTTAGTCTGTATACAAGAAACACTTTAAAAGCTATCTGTTTAAAGCATAATATGACATGCATTAGAAATCATTTGATGATCATCAATATTGCTTGAATCACCCAGATAATCTCTCTAGCCTGCCTGATTGCTGACCCTTTGCTTGCCTCGTTGACTTTGGCATCAAATATGCAAACTCAGTCCATTGGAATACACCTGAAAAATGTTTCTTCATATGGATTTTGTTGATTTATATAGTTCATATAGATTATTCATCTATGTTAGGAAGTGTCTCCTGATGGAAAACATACTTGCTTTTGAACCCACTAGTTTTCTGTAAACCATTGAGAGTTCCCAGGCCTCACTGGTGTCCTTGACATTGTATACATTATTTCAAATGTTGCCATTAACTCACTGCAATAAAATTATAGTTCTGAAACTTGTAATAAAACTCTGGTTTACTTTTGAGCAAAGAAGAAAAAAAGAACAAAACTACTAAACCATCAGGTCAGCTTGTCATCTGAGGATTTGTATATCCATTTTCTCCTCTCCCCAGTGTACCCAGACTTGATAGAAGTGAGGATAATTTCATGAAAAGCATGCCCAAGCAATAGTTCTAAAAAAGTAAATCTTACCAAGCACTTTTTCTTACAGCCACACTGTAAGAAATAGATAAAGAAGTTGGTTTTTGTGCCTTGGGTTTTTATGTTGTTATTTCCCTTCCTTTAGAGTAGACCACTTCAACTTTTACATATCTAAGCAAGGCAGTGATTTGGTGAACAGCTCTATTTGTTTTCTCAGAGTTTTATTGTTTTATATAGTCAGTGTCTTAGTTTAAGCCAAAGGGAATTTGTGGTTTCTGAGATCAGAATTTCAACTGCTTTCTAAAACTTAAAGAAAAGTTAGTGATTAAATTAACCATTTGTAAACCCAGTCTTTGATACTTAAATGTTTTATTCATAGTCTCAGTATTTTGTAGGAATAAAACGTCAATAATAACTATAACCTGTATCTATAACAAAAGGAAAAAGGATAATGCTGGAACCCCTATTAGATATTCTGACAAGTCTTGCTTAAAAGTATTTATCTTATTTTATTTTTCTACCAAAGAAAGAACAAAGGACATGGAAAAATCTAGCCATCTAGTGGCTAGAAAATATAAAAATATCCTCTCTGTGTTTTCTGGAATTCAAAGCATTAGAGATTATCTGACACATTATAATACACTTAATTGTTCATTCAGTAAGCAAGAATAAGTTCTAGAATCTTTACCAAAGCTGAGCTCAATGGAGAATTATATACCTGTGATGACTCATTAATCAGCTTCCCTTTAATCTTTAACGTATACTTCTCTTCAAGAAGAAAAAAAGGGCCTTGGTCCTTCCCAATTCATTAGTCTGAACCTATGATGGAAAAGATAAGGTTGTATGTTTCTATTAACTGAAATTGGGACTTAAATTATCTTTGCCTCTAAAGCAACCAGTACCCTACAACTCTCCTGACCCTTAATTGCTCCTTGTTGACCCCACATCTTAACAACTCTTCCCTCAAGAGTTAGATGTGCTAGATTCCACTAAAGAGAGCCAAGAAATTGTCCCTAAAACTGGCTGCCTCCAGGGGACCTCAGCTCCTGAAACTCGGAATACCAGATGCTGATACTGGCAGCAGGGCCAAACCAGCCCACAGGAAAGCAGGTTTGGATCCGTTATGCAGCTAAAAGGATGGATATTTGGTCTGCCTGGCTTGTTTGTCTCTCGTGCATACATCAAAATCTTTGCTGAATTGTGCCTCTCTCTCTGGTGATTCTCACAGATTCAAAGAACGAATATTGTATACAGTCAGCAAAGTTCTGAGAGCTCCAGGAAGAAAAGGAAGGTCAGCGAACCAGCTAAAGTCTTCATCCCTGACGGAAAATGAAAGTTAGATGCCGTTGCTACCTTTATTCTAAAATAACTTTGTTTTGCAGCAAACTGCATGATGTGTCTTAGTAGGAAAGTAAGTTCCTATCACCAAAACCTTTTACTAAATTTGTTGCTCAACTTATTTTGTCCGTTTACTAAGTGGTAAATTACTGGCTAGTACATGTGTTCACTTTGCCACAAGGAAACATGGCCACCAGTGTTGCCCTAGGACAGCATTACTTCAAGACTGATTTAGAGATGAGACACCCTTCGTATTTATGAAAGCACCCACAGCAGCAATTTTGAAAAGAAATAAGCTGTTGTTCTCAAAGGAAAGAGGGTTTTCTTTGCGTAATTAAACTCCCCAGGTATTTAGACTACTGTGAAATGTTTTAACTTGCTGTAACCTGTGTGCTGGAATCCCTCTAGAGCTTTATTAGAATTCCCACAGAATTGCATAGGATGTATGTGCTTATCCAAGTGTGATTTTTGTGTTAAATTCAGCCATGAGGTTGATCAGCTAAGTGTTGAACCAAAAAGTACTCTCCCTGTGAAGGTCTTCAAATCTGGCCCTAAGCCCTGATCTGTTGGCCAACTGAGACTGGGAAAAAGGCTGCAATGCAGGAGGCTGAATCCCCTTGGTAGGCCCATGTGGAATGCTTCCCAACAGGTCTTCAGTTTACACATTAGCCTGTAACTTGCAGATGATGCTACTGGTTCCCTCTTGTTCTGGAAGAATTTTGATAAACTTAATGAATTATAAATGGATTAAAATGTTATTTTATTATTTCTATAACATGGAATTTAATAATTTAATTTAAATGGATAGGACTAATAAATGAAATGTTAAGTTTTCTGGTTAAATAAACCAAAATCCAAGGTGTTTTGGCGGGGGGTTTGTCTTTTCTTCTTCACTTATATTACTCTCTGCAAGTGCAGTAAGGACATCAGCACCAGGAGTGCTTGCTAAAATACAGCTTACAAGGCCTGCTTCATTTCTACCGAATCAAAATCTCAGAGCATGGGGACCTGTGAAAGACTCCCCAGATTCTAATGCACACAAAAGATTGAGAACCTGAAACCTCTGACACAACCTAACAGGGGAATCTTTGGGGCCAGACATTCACATTAGCTAGCAGAAAGCCGTGTTACTGTAAGAGAGGAGAATCTGAGGGAGCCTGCGTGTCCAGCACTGCCCTTTGCCAGACTCTAGTTCACTTCTGACCTTCTGTGGACAGCCTTCAAACTGGGGTCTTGAATTGGGCTGTATACCAGGGCCTGTCATAAAGGAGCGTTTTCTCTTCTCCCAGCATATTAAGTATAAGCACATAAGCTTACTCTGCCACTAAAAGGAGAAGGAGGGGAAAGGTATTTGTTATATCCTTGATAGAATTGTAGCCTGAGTCACCACAATTTCTTTTAAGAGAATCCTATAAAGAGATTAGCTGTCTACTAGAGGGATTAGGTTTATTTTGTGTCTCTCCAAGGGTAGATCTAAGACCAAATTGTTGAAAGCTATGGAAGGTCAATTTGGCTTAGTGTAAGGAGGGACTTTTTAACTCCACAGATAGTCAAGATTTTGAAATGGGCTGCTGCCTTGTGAGGTAGTGAGTGCACCTCCACACCAAGTGTTTGAACACAAAAAAAGCTTCACAGAAACTTTAGGAGCCTTTCACAAAGCAAATTAGTTATATGGAATAGTTAGTCTGGATTTCAGAAGGAACCATTTTGCTTAAAAGGAGAATTAGCTTTCAATCTAAGTTTATAATTTTCATAAACTTAGCCAGAGGTTAACAGATCCTTTAAGGTGAAGTCTAGAATCTGAATCTGTCAAGAAATTTTTACAGTGATTTTATCACATTTATTAATACCCCCTGTCCCAACAGAACAGTCTTTTATTGATGCCAGTAGGTGGCAAATGTATGTTTAATGCAGGGTGTGTGAGGCAACAGAGAGGAGTTGCTGGGCCTGTGCCCTCGGCCGGGTACACAGGAAAGGAGATCTGGTATCAGGAGGACCTGAGAACCATGAAAATGTGAACCAGCTGATTTTACACAGCAGAGCTCATGTATGCAACCAGATATCAAGATTGGAAGGTATTCAATTCTATTTACTGAATGATTTATTCAGAGGGAAAAAAAATCTTTTCTCTAGTCTGTTCATTTCTGTCCTTACTGGTAATGAAATGAGTAAACACAGGTTCAGCAAGAAGCTGGAACCTCAGCGAAAAGAATGAAAACTTGGAACCTGAGCTGGGGCGCTGGAGCTGTCCCACACTCGCCATTCCCTCACTCTGGCTGTGCTTGGTTCATTAGTGTGATTGCAAAGATTAGATGATGGTAGCTTGGAAACTGGGACATTGTTAAATTAAAAATTATGCAGGGGAAATTTGACTTCGGCTGTTTGGGGTTTTTCTGTCTTTACAGAAAGTTTGTCTAGCTGGAAAGTGATGGGCTAGGCTCTTGACTGCCGCCAGTCTTTGAAGCCAGGCACCGAAACTGCACCTTCATTTCCCCTCTCTCAGGTCCCTCTGGTGTCTGGGTGCTTTCATTCTCCAGCTTACCTCTGCCAGGAAGAGGCTGGAAATGAAGCTGAACATTTCATCAGTGTCAAAGTTGCACTCACACAAGTTCAACATCACATATGTGTTTTTAAAATAACATCAACCGTTACAGCCAGTTTCCATTGGGTCTTAAAATGTTCAATTAATTTATGGTTTCAAACCCAACAGTCTTGGCTCCTTAGAGGTTGCCACAGATTCTTATAGTAAAAATAATTCTTAGTTTTAATCATCACCATTCAGAAGGAGGACCCAGATAATTAAATGAGATGTAACACACTCTGCTTGTAAGAGATAAGATAAGGTCCTCCACATTGTATGATTCTACATTCTATACAAATGAGAAAATGCCTTTCTTTGTCCCAAATGTATCCTCTTTAGAAGTTACTAGTTTATTTTAAGAGTGATTTTGTGTTTGTGTACTCAGGCCCTGGCTGAGACTTGCTATGCAGTTCTCAGTTTCTGCAGAGGATGAGGGCACCTTTGAGGGCTTTAATGGGCCCCTCAGTTACTCATTGCAAGGCCAAGGTTATCCAGAAACGGAGAGAGTTGAGGTACTACTCTGCTCATAAACTTTCCCCTTGGGTGTGCTACACCTTTGCAAGTAGGGTTTTGCACACCTTCTGGGAATGTCAAAGTTACTGAGACTGACTCTTGTAGGAGACGGTGGTCTCACAAATGCTGCTAGTTGACTGTGTGGGGGCAGTGGGCAGGCTGATCTCTGCAAACTGGCTGGAAGTTGCATGTGAGATTTGCTCAAGAGGGGACCCGGGGAAAAAGTCTCATTAAACATTTTATTCTGGTCTTAACTGTGCCATGATGTTCAGCAGTGCAAGGGTTTCCCTATTTGCTGGAGTGATGAAGATTGGCAAGCTGATTAAGATAGCCGAAAACATCTAAGACACACTAGTGGAGCATGGAACATTCCTTGGGGACTCAAAGACTGAGGGATAGAAACCTGGTATAAGAGTGGACTTTTAGGGGGGGATTTTATTTGAATATTGCAGGACTCCGGAAGATGGGAGAAGATGGAGCATCGAGATTCCATTTAGATTGTTACTAATCAGCTCTAGGGTAAGCAGGCAAAGTTAGGTTTTTATCTTCCTTTTAGAAAGGTAATTAAGAAAAAGCCTAGGTTGCAGGCTTCAAAACCTGATTGCAATTTTCTAGGCAAGTTAAAAATTCTGTAGCCCTCATTTTACTCAGTCTGTAACATAGATAATAATGATACCCATCTAGTAACACTCTTGTGAGGGTTAAGTGAGGCAATTAAAACAAACTGCCCAGCACGCATATAGTCAGTGCTCAACAGATGTTCATCATGATGGCTGTTTTTTAAGTTGGCATGTCTTCTTCCTTAGTCTCAGGAGCTCAGGATCCCTGCGCTGTTTTTTTGCCTACCCAGAGATACTGCATCAACTGCTCTAAGCACGCTCTCCCCTCCTTTCCCCAAGTCGAAACTGACTTTCTCTCAAGACAGTTTAATGGAAGGGAGCATCAGATTAAGCTTAATGTGCTGCCCTTCCACATTTGCATTTTAAAACAGAAGCTAATAAGAACAATGAATCTCACCTAGGGAAATGCAATATAAGAAGAGATTGCATCAACAGGGAAGAAGAAAGTCTGGGGAGAACTTTGCAACTGTCTCCAAGTATACAGGGAACTGTTGTGAAATGCAGGGAACAACAGACTCAATCAGCGTTGTTCCAAAGACAGCACACAGACCCAGTGGGAAGAAGCTGCAGGGAGGCAAATGTTGACCCCCATGTTCTAGCAAAATGCCTGGAATATGGAAGGCGATTGACATTTTAATATTTTTGTTAGAAATCTGAGCTGTCAGCTGGTGACTGCTTCTAGCTGTAATGAGTTTCCCATCACTAGTGGTGTTCAAACCAAGTTGCCCAGAATGCTGTCCCTTTGGATAAGAATTGAATCAAATGTATACTGAGGCCTCTTCCAGCTGTAGTATTCTATGATACTTTTATTAATGGTAGCATTTCAATAGTGAGAGTTTAGAGCAAAGGAATATTTTAAAAGTCCTTTTCCCAAAAAGCAGTGAAGTGGTTATAACTGAGGATTCTGGAGTTAGACACTGCTTGGGTTCAAACCCTGGTCATCCTACTTACTAGCTGTGTGACTCTAGGTGAGTTACTCACATTCTCTGTACCTCAATTTCCTCATCTGTAAAATGGGAAGAATAAGTGTCTTCCTCACAGAGTTATTGTGAGAACTAAATGAGTTAATACAGGTAAAACAGAATTCCTGGCACATAGAAAGTTAATGCTCAAAACCTGTTGGTTATGAAGTATTATCTGATACCCTTGCAACTCTAGAGTTTTTTGTGTCTTTTCAGTATGTGGCAGGAGGTTCTTTGTAGCATAATTGCCCCGACCTTGTTTTTTCCTCAATCATAGGCCAGCCATGGCCATTGCAATTAACCAGGGGACCAGCAAGCA